CGTACGGCAACAGAAAACCATAAGCACACAAATGAGGACGACGAGCAAGGTTAGCACAGTTATCGGAACAATCAATGCCAATCTCCAGGGGCTTCCAACTGAGCTTGTCTCTAAAAAAACGAAACCATAATAGCGATTTTCTACCTTTTTTCGTAGATTTGGACTGACCCAGGACGGCTGACAATTTCGAGCAGCGAAGAGCATGCTCACGAGAACAGAATCGAGCACGAAGTAGAACACCTCCTGGCACGTCGACGATTTCCTGGTCGGGAGCGAAGCAACCGGCAGACCGCCAACTATCGCCAGAGGACACATACAGCAGAGTGCAGTCATCAGGAGGAGCACGAGGCTGTAGTTCAAATGTTTAAACGTAGGATTTTCAATTCCTCTGTGGGAGGTTTTAGATCTTGTAAAGTTATCTTTTTATTAGAAAGGTTTCGAGAAAAAAATTTTCCTAAACTTTGTTAAGGCCGTTCTGTGCTAGCGAATCCCCACTAGTGACGTATTGCATTTTTCAGTAAACTATAAGCATTCTTTTCTGAAGTAACCGATAAGAACAAGGTTTATTCAGATAATCATAAAACAAATCAAAAAAGTTGGATAAACCCTACCCCCGAGCTGGGACATAATCAGCACTCTGCTTAGATATGGAGATAGAACCGAATTATACCGTAGACAAACGACCCCATGAGAAACACCGAAATCTTGATATTTTAGCCATACGTGCACTTTTTGAGACTACTGCTCATTGCGAATTCTATTCATCATTTCACTGCTCGGAAATGCTTAACGAGATGTAAATTGTTTGAAGTAAGCGCTGAAAAGGCACTCTCTCTTCAGCTTGCCAAACATGACTACAAGAATGACTTGTTCCTTCTAATCAAAACCTATACTTGCAAACAGTTGGTTCCGATCTCAAAGATTAGTACTATTTTTTTTCTTAAAGTTCACAGGGCAAAACATGTGAAATTGTTGACTGCATTAAATTGGGTTGAAGCAGCTGTGTGATGCAATTCATTAACTTTGCACTGACACCTTGACAAGACGATTGTAACAAAGCAGTCGGGTGAAATATCGGACCGAAAATTTCTAGAGGGAATGGTATAAACATTTAATGAACTATCAGGGACACTTATGCGTTGAAAAATGGTAATGGTAAAGTTTTTGGAATAAGTACATGTAAGTTTTTTTTAAGAAAGGTATTCTACCGTACTTCCTTGAAAATCCAACTCTTACTTCATCAGGCAGATGTAGTGCTCATAGACTTTCCAAAAGTTTTCTGCTATACCTCATTTATGCATGAAAAAGCCGATAACCTCACCTCAATGGTGACAGACTTTCGCATGCTATCGAAACGAAGAGCAGCAGGAGCAAGCATATTCGGATCCTCGTTGACATCATTGGTTGTAGCAACTATTAGCTGCGAGAAGTCGGAAAATCCCTGGAAGATCAAGAATCAGAAAAAATCCAACCATGCATTATTGGTAGGTATACTAACCTTTTTATTCTTTGAGCGGATACGGAAGTAGTAAGATGACAGCGGAGCAAGACCAGTGAGGTTGTAACTTAGCAGCCATGTGACAGTACCGTCATCCTAAAATCCTGACTAATTGTCCATCTATTAACTGACTTTCGCATGCATCTTCAGATGTTCCAAAAAACTACAAGTATGCAAAATTTGGAAGAAAAAAAAAGCAGGAAAAACAAGGGTATAATCACGACAAACTGTG